GTGGTACATAGGATTTAAGAAATACATCGGCATAGCCGAACATTCCAAAGAAGTCTTTGACACAATTTCAGGACTACTAACAATCTGATATTAACATTTTGTGTTGTGCAGTCAGTTGTCCAGGTCGAATGTTGATAAAAGGACAGTCATTTTGAGGAGATGTTTGGCATCTATGATGACCTAGGCGTAAAGTGAGAGGATTCGCGCTGGGGGATATGTATTCTAATTAACACGGCTTTGGAGGAGGATGATATAGAAAGCTTATTAGCAAAACGGCAACTAATTTGTATCAAAATGTATACTCCTGATCTCGGTAGAGTGTACAAACAGGATGGAAAACTATCGATACCTTGATAGGTTCAAAGTCAGGAGAGCATTTCTTTTCAACCGGAGCTTCAAACAAAATTGAGGGATTGCATGATTGCCTAAAATGGTCGATCCATGATATCTGCTTACCAGGACCGGTAACCCTGCGTAAAATCATAGTTAAGTAAGTGTCCAGAAACCGAAGTCATAACGAAATGATAGGTCTGGCCGTTCATTTGACAGAAAAATTCATAGATTTTGTTGAATTTTGAAAACCCTTCCCTCTAAAAACGAGAATATCTATTTGAAAAACCATCACTGTATCGATACCTTTGTAGCACGCCCTTGGCTAAGTATAGCTGCGATATTTTTCGCCGCTTCATTTTTTTCTGCAACGTTTAAAATGCGCATGGAAGCAAATGCCCGCTTAATTAATCTAGTACCAAAGCAAAGAAGACCCATCAAATATCATCACTTCCAACCCCTTTTAGGGTGTTTGACGACATTCTTCAAGGTTGAATACAGCTTCAAGGAATTTACATATTCAAAGTCCAGTATTTCGAATGCTCCCAGATGACGCTGAGCAGCTACGGAAGTTTTGGCACAAATAAATTAACGAATTTTGCGTGAATGAGGGTTTGAGTAATTATAATACATGGCGAGTGCAAATAGTAAATACAGTCTTTTATAGAGGACGTAGGGTCAACGCCGTCATTTGATACTCCTCAAGATGCTTAGTTTCCGATATAAATAAGTGCTTTTTTTTCCAAACAATAATGACAGTTAATGGGTAACTGAAAATGTGACTTTATCTTTTATATTCCAACGTAACTCTCGGAATCGCCGATGACATGCTACACAATTTATACACCGACACTGCGATATGCTACCTAAGCAAATAAATGCCGACTAAGTAAACTGAAAGGTCTTTTCACTCGCATTTATTTGTTTTCTATCTTGATATAAGACCAAACCTTTGCCAGATTTCAGCCCTTTCCTCTTTTTTCAGTCGTAAATCCTGCGTTATTTCCCACTGATTATTGTGGGCTCTTGGCCCTACTTATGTGTTGTTTAAATTTATCAATAACCA